TGCTTCCTTCACAGCTTCAGTTAGGGCAATATATTCCACTTTTGTGGTTGATAAGGAAACAGCCTTCTGAAGTGTTGCTTTCCACCTGATTGTTGTCCCAAACATAATGAACACATATCCAAAAATAGATTTTCTAGAATCCATACAAACTGCATAATTAGAGTCGATATATCCTTCAATTGTTGTTTTACTATCTTCACCACAGGCTCCACCATAAATTAGGACTCTATTCAGAGACCCATTTATGTACCTTAGAATCCACTTCAATGCTTGCCAGTGAGCCTTTCCAGAATTCTCCATGTACCTGCTTACAAGACTTACTGCATATGCTATGTCAGGTCTAGTACAGACCATATCATACATCAAAGAACCCACTATATTAGCATATGGAATTCTATTCATATAAATTCTTTCAACATCAGTGTTGGGACACTGATCTATACTCAGCTTGAATTGAGGGTTTGTCGGAGTCACGATAGGCTTTGAATTCGACATACCAAACTTTTTGAGAATCTTCTATAAGTATGCCTCTTGAGATAAGCATAATCTCGACTGCTTTCTATCTCTTCGGATGTCAATCCCAAGAATCCTGGACGCAACTACTAGATCCTTCATTTCGAACTCGTTATTGAGTTCAGCCTTTACCCTCATTACATCTTCGACATTGTTGCTTGCTATTAGAATATCATCCACATAGAGCAACAATATAACAAATGAATTACCGGTCGAAATCTGAAGTAAACACAGTGGTCGAACTGACTTCTAATGAAACTTATGCATGCCATGAACTTGTCGAATCTTCTATTCCACTGTCGAGGAGATTATTTCAGTCCATATAAAGATCTATTCAGTTTGCACACATAATCTTCCTTCCCTTTTTCGACATACCCTTCAGGTTGCCTCATCAGGATTATTTCATCTAGATCACCATACAAGAACACAATCTTCACATCCATCTATTCCATTTCAAGGTCGAACTAAGCCACCATGGCAAGAAAAATTCAAATGGATATGTGCTTCACAGCAGGAGAGAACACATCATTGAAGTCGACACCTTCTTTCTGAGTGAACCCCCTAGCAACCAATCTTGCCTTGTATCTCTTCGACGCCACTCCTTTGATTCCTTCCTTAACTTTGAAAATCCATTTACAGCTGACTAACCTGGCTCCAGCAGGTTTCTTGATCAATTCCCATGTGTTATCGTGAAGAGATTTCATCTCATCAACCATGGCCTTCAGCCATTCAGTATTCTTTTGACTCCTCATAACTTCCTAATATTCTCTAGGTTCTTCGTCTAGAACCTCACTTGCAGAGATTAAGACATATGCTCTAAGATCTGCATAGGCTCTGAGGTGGCTTGATGATTCTCCTCGACCTGTCTCTTGCTAGAAGGTAGTCATTATCAGTATCCTCATCTTTTACAACATCTTATGTGTCCTCGACTTCATCTGGGGTACGCAATTCAGCATCAACATGCTCCACCTCAATAGGAATTTCTCTCTGTTCCAGCACTTCGTCAACATCAACTGTTTTCTTGAAAGCCATCTTTGCTTCATTGAAAACTACATCTCGACTGGTGACACACCTCCTGTGACCTGGCTCTAGGCACCATAGCCTATAAGCTTTGACTCCTTCAGAGTATCCCATGAACATGCATTTCAGAGCTCTAAGTTCAACCTTGTCTTGCCTAATATGAGCATAGGCCACATAGCCAAATACTCCCAGTCTGTCGAGACTAGGTGGATGTCTCGACCAAACTTTTTCAAGTGTCTTCATTCTCAATGCAGTTGAGGGACATCTATTTATCAAGTAAGATGCTGTCAAAACAGCCTCCGCCCAAAACACCTTCTTTAATTCAGCACTAACCAACATGCATCTAACCCTTTCAAGGATTGTTTGATTGAATCTCTCAGCTAAGCCATTTTGTTGAGGAATACCTGCTACAGTCTTATGCCTTGCAATCCCAGACTCAACACAGTAACTGTCGAACGCTTCGTTGCAAAATTCAAGGCCATTGTTGATTCTCAACCTTTTAACCTTTCTGCCAATTTGAGTTTCAACTAGAATCTTCAAACTTTTGAAATTCTCAAAAGTTTCATCCTTCGTCTTCTGAATGAATACCCATAGCTTTCTGGAATAGTCATCAATAATGGATAGAAAATACCTTGCACATGAGTGTGAAGGATTCCTTGCAGGCCCCCAAAGATCAGCATGAATGTAATCCAGGGATCCATGTGTTCTTTGCTTGCCTTTGTTAAACTTCGCCCTACAGGATTTACCAAATACACAAGATTCACAAAACTCTAACTTTTCGACTTTGTCACCTCCTAGCAGGTTCTGCTTCCCCAATTCTACCAGGCCTCTTTCGCTGACATGGCCCAATCTCATGTACCATAATTCTATCTTCGACACAGGTTTTATGGATGCAACATTTGTCGAACCACTTACAACCTCAGCCTGAAGGGTATACAAGCCTTGTTTCTTCACGCCTCTCAAGACATCCTTCGATCCCTTCAAGACTCTTAAGATACTTTTCTCTCCTTGAAAAACATATCCCTTTCTGTCAAATTCACCAAGAGAAATCAAATTTCTCTTCAAGTCGGGTACATACCTGACTTCAGTTAATAACCTTATTGACTCATCATGGAGCTTGAATCTCACAAATCCAATACCTGTCATTTTTCCAGATTTATTATTTTCCAGCAGCACCGATCCACCATCTTGATCACATAGCTCCTCGAACAATTCTTTGTTTGGAGTCATGTGCCAAGTGCAACCTAAATCCATAATATACTCTTTTCTCGAGTCGCCACTTGAAACCACAAGAACATCAGATGAGTCGAAGTTATTTTGAATAATGGTTGCGTTGTCATTACCTCCATGATCTTTCAAGCGTTCAGGGCACTCCTTTCTTATGTGACCCTCCTTCTTACAGTGATAACATCGAATACCAGATGTTTCGCCACTATAAGACTTCTGCTGACTTTTACCTTTCTTCTTGTCGAACTTACCATCCTTTCGCAAGAATATTTCCCTTAACGGTCAAACCTTCGCCCACCGTCGTAGGTCTATGCTCCTTTCATTCGTTCAAGTCCTTAGAATACAAGGTTGATTGAACTTTTTCAAAGCTTAAGGACTCCCTTCTATACAATTGAAGTGAGCATGTGTTATGGGAAAAGCACACAACAACAACAGTGCTTGATCTTCATCAGCGATTTTCACATCAATATTTTCAAGATCAAGAATCAGCTTGTTTAACAAATTCAACTGCTCAGCCAACACTTTATCTTCACTCATCTTAAGTAAATACAAAGCTTGCTTCAGGTAGAGTCGATTCACCAGAGATTTGGTCATGTACAAACTTCCAAGTTTCACCCATAATTCCAATGTTGTAGTCTCCTTTGATACCTTTCGAAGAACCTTATCACCAAGGGGCAACAATATTATACTGTGAGCTTTCTCAATCATTCCCGTCTTTTCTTTTGTCGTTAACGCAACGTCCATGGTTGCCTCTCCCTTTAACGCTTCCAAACAACCCTGCTGAACCAGTAGAACTTTCATCTTTAAGCTCCACAGACCGAAGTCGTTCAATCTGGTGAACTTTTTAATCTCATACTTTGTTGAAGGCATATTCTCCACGCTCACCGCATCAATTTGTTGTGAATCAGATGCCTTGAAACAAAATATAAAAGGTTTCTTTATAGTCACGAAACACACAAGGGTTAGGGTTAACAAAGAAAACAAGATAAGGTAACAAGGAACAACAAGGATTGGTTATAAACTGTTATTCTTTCCTTACTCTTAGAACAAGATTACAAGTATACAAGAATAACAAAATAACCTCTCTCACTTGAAATTATGATTTTATCTTCTTATTTTTTCTTGTTCCAAGATTGAGAAACTAGTATCCTATTTATAAGAAAAATAGCACACTAACCTAATGGGCTTTTTAACAATTACCCATTACAAGCTAACTTAGGGTACAAGCTAACTTATACAATTGGGTTTACAAGTAAGACCCAATTCAACATGTTAACAACCCTAGCAATATTGACTAATGCATGTTAGAACAAACTTCGACTACAACACACATTACTCCGACAGTAGCATGCGAACAGACTTCGACCTCATGCTTAATTTCTGTCGAACCAGAAGCTACCCTTCGACCATACTAGAGTCCGATCCAATATCTCACAAAAACAAAAAGACAAACAATGAAACACCATTAAAATCAATAAACCACACAAAACTCCAAAAACTCGAAGAGATATTTCCTCCGAGATCAACAACCAGATTAATTGGACCATTAACATTGGATCAACAACCATTAAGAAAAAAGAAAAGAAACAAAACACTAACAACTTAGCCGATATCACGATCCACTATTAATTAATTTAAAGGATAGAGTTCCAAAGTTAACCTGTGAAGGTGCACGAGATTTTTCACGATCTATCCAAAAATGATTTTCAATCCAAAAAAATTCTGATCTCTTCTACTTCTATCAAGTTTGTTATAAAATAAAAAATTACAATTTCATTTTGATCCTTCTAAAAAGTCCACACCACACCATATCACATTATAGAAATTTCTTGATAGATTTCACCCTATCTTCCGAAAAATAAAAACTCTAGAAGAGTAGAGGGGCTGCCTTGGGAAATCACTATCCGAATTCCACAACTCATCTCTCTCATTTTTTTTTAATCTATAGATGAGTTGTAAAATGATAATAGTCCATCTAAATAGTTGTATGTCACTTGCTATGTTATTGAAATACAATACCAAATGCATATACAGTGAAAATGGCAAACATTAGAAAATCTGAGGACAAGTCATTAATCAATTTAAATGTCGGAATTTAGATGTAGACAAAATAGAGCCCACATTTTAAAGCTGCTCCGTGATATATTATATCATAAAAAGGGTCCCAGATATATTACTAATTTCTATAAATGAAGGGTTCCTAGTTTCAACCAAAATGGATCAGAGAGATTTAGTTAAAAATGGGAGAAATACAAAGTGAGGTAACATGGGAGAAGGAGGAAGAAAAAGAAGAAGCAGAAGCTCAAGTTGAAATTTGGAAGTACATATTTGGTTTTGTAGAACTATCTGTAGTGAAATGTGCAATTCAACTTGGCATAGCCGAAGCCATTGAAAAGCACAAAAAACCCATCTCACTATTAGAGTTATCATCAACTCTAAAATGTGACCCTTCATATCTTAACCGCATCATGAGATTCCTAGTACATAGGAAAATATTCAAAACCATATCTACCAACCATGACAACTATCCTAGCTATGTTCAAACCCCACTCTCTCGCCGTTTAATTCGAAACGGCGAGCAAAGCATGTCTGCTTTTCTTTTACTAGAAAGCAGTCCTGTTATGGTAGCTCCTTGGCTTAGTCTCAGGGATCGTGTTTTGGAAAATGGAAACCCTTCTTTTAAAAAGGTTCACGGTGAAGATATTTGGCGCTATGCTGCTACAGATCTTGATCATAGTAATCTTATCAATGATGCTATGGCTTGTGATGCTAAAGTTGCTGTGCCTGCTATAGTTGAAGGTTGTAGTGAGTTGTTTGATGGTGTTGGATCCTTGGTGGATGTTGGCGGTGGGAATGGTACAACCTTGAGCATCCTTGTTAAGGGGTTTCCATGGATTCGAGGTATCAACTTTGATCTTCCACATGTCATTGACGTGGCTCCAAAGTGTGATGGGGTAGAACATGTGGCAGGTGACATGTTTACAAGTGTTCCCAAAGCTGATGCTGTATTTTTTAAGGTATGTTGTCGGATTCAAACGTGAGAATGTTAAAATTACTTCGACTGTGAAAAGCTCATTAATTACTTTACGTTACTTCTATTAAATAGTGTTAGATTTGGTCCTGATTTGATTGAAATATTAATTGCAGTGGGTTTTGCATGATTGGGGGGATGAAGAGTGCATCCAAATCTTAAAGAATTGTAGGGAAGCTATACCAAAAGAAAATGGAAAAGTAATTATTGTGGAAGCAGTTATTGAAGAAGAAGAAGGAGGAGGAAAACACAACAAGTATGAAGATGTAGGGTTAATGTTAGACATGGTGATGATGGCACATACGAACATTGGAAAAGAGAGAACACTAAAAGAGTGGGAACATGTGATCAAAATGGCTGGATTCGATTCATTCACTGTGAAATCTATCAATGCGGTGCAGTCTGTAATTGTGGCCTCAGGCTAAATATATGACAGAGGAAGCACTGAAAAATCAATAATGGTTGTGAAATAAAGTAATAAACATATATGTTATGTAGGTCATGAATGTTTGAACTTTGTTATCATGTATTTGTATTAGCGTGATATGACGCATTAAAGCTTTTGTAGAATTTTTTTCCAACATTCCACACTAATGCATTGTATTTTCTAATATGTCATATGGATCAAGTATATATATTATTCTGCCATGGTTTCAAACCAAAAAAATTAAATACGTAAGCACTATTTTTAAATGAAAGGGCGGAACACAAAAAATGTCTATGCCGCCCATTAAAATGGTTAGATTTTTATTTTTATTTTTCATGATATATATATATATATATATATATATATATATATATATATATATATATATATATATATATATATATATATATATATATATATATATATATATATATATATATATATATATATATATATATATATATATATATATATATATATATATATATATATATATATATATATATATATATATATATATATATATATATATATATATATATATATATATATATATATATATATATATATATATATATATATATATATATATATATATATATATATATATATATATATATATATATATATATATATATATATATATATATATATATATATATATATATATATATATATATATATATATATATATTAATAATATTAATATATATATATATATATTAATATTACCAATATTAATAATGTTAATATTAATATAATTAATTAATATATAATAATATTAATATAATTTGAATATTAATATTAATACAATTTTAATATTAATTTATATTAATTAATATTATTAATATTAATATATATTGATAAAAATAATTAATATTATTTAGTAAGAGATAATTATGCTAATATAATTATTAATAGTATATTAACAATTAATTTTATTATTAATATATTTATAATTAAAATTAATATTTAATTTAATTAACAATAAATAAACGAATATTTTATATTTATTTTTGTACCACGCCAGCACCTGAATGGGTGAAATCCTTTAATATTTTAATATTTTTGTACAGTGCCGACATCTGAATGAGCGGAACATTTTTAGTATTTTATTATTTTTGTACAGTGTTGGCATCTGAATGGGCGAAACATTTTTAGTATTTTATTATTTTTGTACAGTACCGACACCTGAATGGACAAAATCTTTTAGTATTTTAATGTTTTTGTATAGTGCCGACACCTGAATGGGCGAAACCTTTTAATATTTTAATGTTTTTGTATAGTGCCGACACTGATATAAATAGAGGTGTGGTGTGACATATTCTTCACATCTGTTTTTAAGATGTATCTTCGCCGTTGGGGAAAAGTGGTTTTTTCGAGAGAAAAACTGGCTATGGATATGCTTTTTTGGAACATATGTAGTTTAGAGCAACTACATAGGGAATTGAAGCGTTGGTTAGAAGAAGACATACTGGAAGGGAAAAAAATCAGAAGTATTGAGAGGTATGATGTCCGACGTGGGTGGGTGCGAGTCAAGAATGATAAGGAAGCTAGGAAAATGATGTTTGGGCAAAATGAGATCAGACTGCTAATTGTAATCAGTTAGAGAAATTGTACCAAATGTTATGTTAAATGTTGCTTTTTAGTATTTTTATCTATGTTGATTTATGTATGTGTTGTGTCATTTAATGAAACATAAAGTTGTGTGGTTTTTTCTAGAAGTTAGATATTAATCTGAAAACAATACATGATAATTAATGAAAACACTAGCGATTACTTGTTCCCACATTGGGACACCGGGTTCAATTGTGGTTCGTTTGACGACACATGGAACATTTTCTCTCAAGCTTATCAAAGTTATCCATCCCCGTTCTAATATGTGTGCTCACTAGGTGACCTTTCTTGTTCCTCCGCATTCTTGGATTATGGCAAATTTGATCTCCTTCATAAACGGGCATATGTTCATCGTCCGACAGCACTGGAAAGCTTGTGTTATAAACCTCAAACAGGTTTGTAACCCTATAAACGTCGGACAAAAGAGCGTAAGCACCGTGGCGCACATTCGAACATGCAGCGATAACATGTGAGCAAGGGACACGATATGCTTGAAATTTTCCCCAGTCACACCACCCGTTTAAGAGGTTGACCTTATAATGTCCCATAGGCTTCCCCTCACCATGGTTCATTGTCTCCTTCACACTGAAAACATTGTTAATATAGTCAAAGATTCTGACTTGATATGTGCTGGATTTTGTTGTTTCTTATTTCATTACCTTGAGGCAGTTGTCTGTAAGTGTTTGGCCAGAATTCAACACAACACTCCATTTTGCACCCCTTTCAACAAATAAAGATTCCAGTCTATAGTATGTTGCACTTACCAATGTTGTAATGGGCAAATTACGTGTGCCTTTAAAGACAACATTCAATGACTCAACAAGGTTGGTAGTCATGTGACCCCAACGTCGACCCCCGTCAAATGCCCTCGTCCATTTTTCGGCTGGAATATTGTCAATCCACCTCAAAGCATCAGCATTTTCCATGCCAATCTCAGACCGATAATAATGAAATGTTGGTTGGTTTAAAGCATACCCTAAAAAAATAAATAATTAAAATATCAACAATGGACAAAAATATAATATATGTTATTGACAAAATTTAATGAATATTATCAAATATAGTTACCCATGTTAATTATTATTTTTCCGTAGGTTCCTATCCTTGATTTCTCTCATAAAATTTTGTGCAATGTGTCGGATACAATAAACATGCACTGATGGGAGATTATGCCAACCATTTTCTGCATTGTTGTATGCACTTTCAATTGATGCATGTCGGTCTGAAATCAAACATAGGTCTGGTTGTGGCGCAACATGCCTCCTTAAGTTTCGCAGAAAAAAACCCCATCCTTCAGTTGTTTCACCTTCCACAAGGGAAAATATTGTTGTTGCCATCTTGTGCCACCGCCATGATTCAACCTTCAGAAAAGATATGGGAAGGCATATCTCTGCCGCCCATTCAGTCCTCGGATGTCAGACACCATAACTTCTTTCCGCCCATTCGTTTCCCGGTCTCTTGACACGAATAAAGATGTCGCCCATTTAAAGGTCGGTAGTCAACAGACATAAATTCTTGCCATGCATGCAAGAAACACGTACCAATCTTTACCTACATTAATTCAACTCTACACATTAATTTCTTACCTACATTTTTTTCACATTAATCATATTCATCTCCTATTAATACCATATCATTTCTATTATAAATTCATCTCAACACACTACCAATCTTAAAAAAACTCTCTACTTCCACTCTTACAAAATGATTTTACTAACCTTAGGAGAAGATCATCGAGGCGCACTTGCAAACATTGCATCATATGTAAGTTAATCTTATTTATAATGTTTACAATCTTATAATATTTATGTTACTTATTTAAAATCTTATTTAAAATATTTACAATCTTATTTAAAATGTTATAATGTTATTTATGTTACTTAAAATACTTAAATTGTTAATTGTTAAAATATAAATAACATTTATAATCTTATTTAAAATGTTTATAAGGTTATAATCTTATTTAAAATATTTAAGTTGTTACATTATTATATTCTTATTTAAAATGCTTACAATGTATAATCTTATTTAAGTTGTTAATTGTTAAAATATAAATAACATTATAATCTTATTTAAAATGTTTACAATGTTATAATCTTATTTAAAATATTTACAATGTTATAATCTTATTTAAAATATTTAAGTTGTTACATTGTTATAATGTTATTTAAATTGTTTTTTGTAGGAAGAAAAAAATTTCAAACCACGCTCACATAAGTACATAGAGCCTGATGAAATTATCAAACCATATTTGGTTCAAGCGGGTTTCGGTCACGTCATCATAACTTCATATGGAATTGATCGCAAATTTCTTCTCGCCTTGTGTGAAAGATGGAGACCAGAAACCCGCATATTTCACTTCCCCACAGGTGAATGCACGGTGACCTTGGAGGATGTCTATATGTTGTTAGCGGTTGTTGGTGACACAAATGTTAAGTATGATTTAGTGGAAGAACTATTGGGGGTGCCTTTGGAACGAAGTGATAGGAAGGGGCAAAGCCTTAAAATTACATGGCTAAAAAGAATTTATGGTGCTTTGATATTGAACACGGAATCTCCCGAGGAACTCAAAATTTATAAAACTAGAATTTATATTTTATTGCTTTTTGCATGTTTTTTATTTCCTGATACTAATGGTAATATTATCCATCTTCAATTGTTACCATTATTAGAAGATTTAAGTCAAATAAGTAGATATAGTTGGGGCGCTGCTAACTTAGCGCATCTATACAGAAATTTGTGTAGATGTGCAAGAAAAAATATGCATGATTTTGCTGGTTGTGGCGTTTTGATTCAAGAAAAAATGGAAATCCGATAATTGGAGAGACCATAACAAACGTCAACATTGGATAAATCATCGCCGAACTATTCTACAAGGAAATGTTATGGATACCGAATGTAAACCCAATAGGGAATACATGAATTGGTATAGATTTGTGACCATTTTGTATCTGTCACAAAATAGATACTTATGGGACCCTCGTAACCAACCAACTTCTTCAAACTTTCAAAACACTAGACAACCTTGTAACACCTAACCACAAACATTTAACACCCCTTAAAAAATATTTAATACCCAACCACAAATATTTAACACCCCACAACAAATATTTAACACCCAACAACAAACATTTAACACCAAACAACCTTTCAACCCAACACAACAACCTTATACCCCAAGCCAACACTACCATCATCTTTACCTATCATTTAACCCACACCCAACAACAAAACTCAACCTCTTCCTACACCTAATATAATCAATACTCATTCTCTCAACCTATCCCACAAGAACATAGCTACCAAACACCCCAACCACAAGTTCCTTTTTACCCCTCACAAACCGTCACCCTTAATTCATCTCAAGATTAACATCCATAC